GATATAATAATTATAGATATTATCATTGATTATTTTTTTATCTGGAAACCTTTTTCGGTGGTTAATGCCACATAAAATGTTTCAAGAGGTATCCACGCAGCAATAAAATTATTTGTAATAATAATTTTTGTTATTATTATAATAACAATTTATTCAAATCAAATAAATGTATTTATGTGTAAATTTAAGAGGGCCGAATAGATCGCTTTTTATTGTTTATAAATGTTTATTTGATTTGAATCGGCGATTTTTGGATGTAATGGGAATTACTTGTTATAGTGAAAGCAATGGAGACATGGAGAATAATTTCACCAGAATTTTTAGTTGTATGAGTTTGAATTTAATTCCAATAATAAAAGTTTTTCAAGTTTCTAAAAGAGGAATTCCTAAGAAATTCGCAGTTCCTCCGTTTCTTGTAAAAATAGTCTTTTTTTTACTTGCACAGAAAACGGTATCTAAATATTAATAGGCGAAATAAATATTAATGACTCAACACGTCAGTTTTTCCAGAATTTTATTACACCTGACTGATAAAAAAATGTAAAATTTCTATCTAAGAAATTTCACGGTCAGAAGTAAAAAATGAGCAATTCAAGCTGGCGTATTTTTTGAGAATATTGAATAATCCAACAATTAAGGAAACAACAGTTTAATTGGAAGAAAAAATTAAATTCGCTGAAAACACTCGGACATTTTTAGATTGTCTCCAACACATTTTTTGGTAAAAAAAAACAAAAATGACGGGGAACGAGTTAAAAACGCTTTTCCACAAGTGTCCCATTTTGCCCGGTATAATTATTACCAAATATATTTTTCCCACGAGAGTTATTTTTAATCATAAAATTTCATAAGCTCAAATCCATAATTATAAATTAAATAAATGAATAATATTATTTCTCGTCATTGGGATTTATTGCCAGCAGAAGTTGAAATGTAATCTAAAATGACATCCAGAGAATAGAGCGTCTTGTGAATCCGTACTAGTAGATTTTACGTAATAAAATAAGGCGGGACTAAAGAAGGGATTAATGGATTCTCACTTGGCGTTTTCATGTGTGACAGTTCCTCTTATTATTTGTCCTCCTTATGTCCCTCTTGATCAGCTTGAATCCTCGATGGTGGCCAGAGGCTTCGCTAATCCGACAGCAGTTCGGTTGACGATTTTTTATTGGATCTGGAGAAACATCCAGCAGATCGCAGCCCATCGACGATATGGAGTCGAGAAAAATAAACCCTTGCATTATAGATATCTCGGGGAATCCCAATTCACTTGAGCCAAGTTCAATCGGCTCAGCCCCTTTATACGATCCCTAGGGAAATCCTCGATATTTCCGGCGTTTTTGATCCATTCTAAAGCTCCAGCATACCGCCACCCACGATTTTATTTTTCTTTTAGAATTTACGTTCTCGTTATATTTATGGAGCTTCATTCACACCTGACCCATTTTAATCCCCACCATGTTGGAATATAGTGTTAAACTATAGATCAATGTTCATTAAAAATCTTGAAATCCTATTTTTTTTATTAGCTTGCCTTTTTATTCTATTAATTTGCCTGGTACATAATTATCAAATTCTCAGAGACTATATATAGAATTATATAGAATTACGAAAACAGAAATTTTTTTTCATCTCACACCCCAGGAAAGTTACGTTTTTTTAGAATGGATTCTTTTAATTAACCGATGATTTATATTCCCCTGCTAAATGATGACTTGAGAAATACGAAAACAAAATTTAGTTTTCATCCCCCTCTCTCCCTTCTTCACACACACACACCGATCTAGGACTTTCTGGGGAGAGGGGAGTGATGTTCATCCAAAATTGATTTGTCCGATCAATCGACGTCTGATTGCACGTAAATTCATAAGAAAAAATTTAGAATTTCATTAATGACGTTTTTCCTGAAATTTCCCATTCTCAATTGGAAAGTTCTTCGATTTCCGCTGGAAGGTAAAAAATAGATAAAATAATAGATAAAGAAAATAGATAAAATAAAAATGTCCAAAGTATCCCCGCAATATTTTCTCAACGAAACTGTTCTCGCTTCCTTGGAGATTTTCTAATGAAAGAATTCCAATTATCAGCTCCACCAGCATTTCAAGAGATCAAAGTCGTCAATAATGAAGCACGTGATATGTCAATTAGCATAAGCACTCCATTGTGAATTTCCATCGAATTCTCTGACGAGAGATAGATATATAGACAGTACTCTGAATTCCGTGAATGTTTTGCATAAATATTCCCGTTTAGGACTTCCGGCTGTGGCATTCAGGTGGCACTACGTCGAATCCAACCGATTCCGCATGATTTCCCCGCAACCCAACACAACACGTAACCTCGGGATTCGTGTGACCCACATTTTCCTCTTATATTTTTCATTTTTTACAGTTTTCCCCTTTTTTTCCTCCCCTTTCAGTTCTTGTTTTTCGTGGTTAAAATATCATGCAAGTGGCTTTGACCGTATTTTTCAGGGTCCCTATTTTTAGAAACTATTTTCTCTCCATTATTACAATTAGAAGGTGCAATTACTTGAATTGACTCCACTTGACCCTCAATTTTCCAACTTTTCCCAATATTTTTTTTCTAAATTCCGATTTTCCTTGATAAAGACTATTTTTTATATTTAATCTGTTATTGTTGATCTATTATTGTATAAATTCAATATTCTATGATACTATTTAATTTTTCTTTGAATTATATAATTATATATTTAAATAAGTCGATGAGGAAAATTTCTCAAATTTGTATTTCGAATTTGTCAGAAATATTTCATGAATTCGCAAGGGTTCAACCACTACAGAATTTTAATGTATTCCCACGTAAATCAAGTATTCCATTATTCCTTGATGTCATCTGCCTAACGAGATCGTCTGTGATGACGGATTAAGGATAATTACATTCAGCGAAATGCCATGTGAAGTTATTTTTATTTACATCAGCTATTCATTCTCCGCAGCTCGCACCCTTCATACAGATTGTAAATATCAAAGGCTGTTATAATATTATTCTATAAACCAGCTAGATTAAAAATATTATTCAAATTATTTTTCAAATTATTATTTACAGGTCACGCAGACCTGAAAAATCTTGACAATTCCAAAAAATTCAGGCTTCAAATTTTCCACATTTTCATTTACTGCAAATTCAATTATAATTAATGTTTAATTTTCTTGAACTTCCAATAAAAATCGAATTTAAACTGATATAAACATAAACAAAAAAGAGGACATTGTGCTTGAAATTTCAAATGATCGCTAAAAGATCCAGACCTAAGAAAAAATTCTTTGAAAATTGAATGAATATTTTTATTTGAAATTGATTTCAAAGGCATATAATTGAAAATATCAAGAATATTGTGCCTAACATTTGAAAAAATCACTGAAGTTAAATTAGACTTGGAAGCAATTTGTGCATATCTTTGGATTGAAGCGATTTATTGGTCACGTTGTGCCTTCCGGTTACTCTGAATTCCTGAAAATTTCGTTAGTCAGGCTGCAATATCTATGTATATCCGTGGCTTTTAACGTAAATATAGAAAACTCAGTGAGAAGGGCGTGTCAACGAATCGCCGTTTTTTTATGCACCTCTCTCTCGAGGACACTACGGATGCCATTCTTCAAGGTCATTACAATACATACCGAGGAAATATGTATCCAGTATTTAGTCAGACTGTTCTATAGACGTACTCTATGCGACTGCGTGATTTATTTTCGTCCAATTCCAATTACTCCTCTTGCATCGCACTTTCTTCTAGAGATGTATTCATCGTTTCAATGCTTTTAGTTCCATTTTCACACACAAATGAGATCTTTGTTAATGCATTCGATGCAATCCAAGTCGGATATGGTCCTATTATTTGTTCAATTTTTCCATCGATTATTACTTGGGAGGTGAAGAAATTTTATGAGGCATCGAGGATATGTCATATGTTGGTCGTAAAATCATCACATGAACGTCACATGACATAAACCTTTTATTTCATGAAAACTACATAATTCTCATGATTTAATTATAAATATTAAAATCACTGAATGGTGATTTACAAAAATATTTAAACTTAAATTATTCCATTATCTATTCATGTCTTTCAGTTCTTCAACGAAATAAAGAAATAATTCTTTGGTTGATTTCTTCGGTGGTATAGTGATGAGCTTTTTTTGCCTGCCATGATATTTTGGTTAAACAAAGATAAACTATTATTATCAGTGAATAATTTAATTTTGGTGATTTAATTATTTCTTAGCTTTTTCATCTTTTTTATTTTCCACATTTTATGTTCGTCATAAATAATGCAGCATCTCCAGAGAAAACATTCTCACTTCCTCGATAAATATTCGGCATTCTTTTTAGATGAGAACTACTCATTTATTTATATTTTATTTTTCGTGGCGGCTGTTTTGGACGGATCAGGAGAAAGAGGAAAAGTGCCACGCGCTGCTGCTACATTTAGAAACGAAGGTCGCCCATTTTGAACGCCCATAAATTTTTAGTATCGAAAATCGGATGACATTGGATATGTTATTCCAGTATATAAACAATCCGTGATAATAAATAATGGAAATGATCGAGAAGCTCACGATCCCATTTTTTATCATTCTCTCGATTATGTCCGCAATAAATTGCGTACACACGATAATTTAAAACGCAAATCAATACAATACCCCATGTTAATTACCGATAAATAATTTTTATCACCGTATAAATGTAAACCAGGACGTGGCTGAATAAAAACATCATTTAAAGCATTAAAAGGAATCATCAGGCTGGAAATAAGAAAGCTGAGAGTTTAAACGATTCAAGACCACCTCCAATTATTTTTTATCTGGAAACTGATTTCAATAATTCCGTGAAAAATCCTGGAAGGGGGGAATCGAGGGGTTAACGGCGGCAGAGGGGGTGGCGGGAGTGGTGAGGGGTTAGATAATTTTTAATTATTTTTTTTTCTGTGCGGATAATTGATATGAAAATGTAATGAAATGATAAATTGTGTGTTACAGACCGAAGTTTTCTGGTAGCAAACGCTCAACAGGGCTTATGCCACATAATCTACTGTTCTGATGGCTTCTGTCGTCTCACGGGATATTCTAGAGCTGAGGTAATGCAGAGACCGGCAGTATGCGATTTCCTCCATGGCCCAATGACTTCACCCCATGCCATTGCTGCCCTCAGGGATGCACTACTTGCTGGAGCTGAGAAACACTTTGAGATTCTTTATTACAGAAAAGATGGTGAGTTCATACAAATTCCTTTTTTTCTACAAATCTCAGCCACGTCAAATAATAGAAAATAAATATAAAAATAATGATATTAATTTCTAAATAAAACTTTAACTCATAAAAAATTAGTTGAGCGCTGATAAGTCCCAGTGGTATAAAGTTCATAAATATAAAGATGTTGAATATGTTATTCCCCAGATTTGGCCGATCGTATTATTGTTAAATGTTTGGGCATACGTCATTATCAGCGTAACATTTATCTGCGTAATTGGATTATGCTGACCAATTGATGACATAAACAATTATGTATTTAAGAGAAGGTAGATCCAAATCGAGCTCCGACGTGTGTTAATCGTAATTATCGGAATCAGTCTGATGGCACAGTAAAAGTTATAAACTTTTATATTTAAATACCTATAAACTATTGGTGGGAGTCATCCCTTCGAGCTTAGAATCTACAATCGATATAAGTACCCCCGACGATCATGGATAAAAAAAAAAATTAGTTCAAAACGTTCACTTAATGGATTCATCTGGAAATACTAGGGAAATTTTTCAATGAATTGTTTAATTTTTGAACGCAGTTAAACATCGAATTTTAATTGTTTTTCTAGTGGTGCATATTTTTCAATACCAACGGATCCACGTGCACTCATGATTGTTCATACGAAAATAATGAGGAATATCTGCATAGAAATGGACAGTCGTGTTTTATTCATGAGGTGGAAATGAATTCCAATTATTTCCATTCCATCAAATCATTCTCCCCGTTTGAGGGTGCTGATTTTCTCAGAAACTCCATTCATAATGCTGCGGGGATTTTTAATTAGAAAAATTCTAGAGCATGACCCTATACTCCTGAGACTGCATGTGACACTGTGCATTGATTAGAGGAACCAAGTTTCATTTTACAAAAGTTGCCATACATATTTTTAAATACTCCATTACCAAAATTCCCCTTGACGATTACTTTAATAGTAAGGAATTATCATTATTTATTATTATTTTTTAATTATTTTCGAGTGATAAATCCATTCATTCCAGGGCACACTTAATTTAATCTCGTCCGTAATGAATTTCCATCTATATTATCACCATCTGAATTTCCACGAAGATTCTAGAAACTAATTAAAAACATATCATGACAATCCTAATTTCACAAAAAAACGGTCAAACATCAATCGGTTTGTAAATTGCAATGATGCAATGATGCAATGATGCAATGATGTTTGAAATAATAATAATTAAATCCCGTCGTATAGAAGTTTTTTGAATAAATATAGTCGTTGTAAATTTGATGTGGGAAATTGAATAGTTCGTTGTTTATACAGGGTTGATTCAATATTGCACCTGCGGTGGCTCCGAAAAGTCCAGCTGGTTTACTGTTGCTGCATTCCTATCCTGGATAAAATGTAATATCAACTAGCTGACCTTAGGGGTTGAGATCGATAGCCACTACTGTATAATTTATCACAGTCATAGAGCTACCGAGGCCTCCTACCTTTTCTTGTCAGGTCTGTCCATTATTGCGCATCGTGACTTGGTGACCCAATCCTTCCTCCTCTAGTATTTTTCTTTTTTGCCAAGTCCGAACCGCCCAGGTGACTATTTCGACACACCCTTTGCTGTTTCACTTTTTTTTCCCTTCCATTTGTCCTCCGGTGGAATTTACTCCGTCGATGTCTTCGCATCGATTGAAGAAAAAGAAATTTCTTCATGTCGTACTCTCTAGCCTTTCGGTTTTTTAATCAAGGGATTCACTGAATCGTTTCATGATCTTTCGATATTTCTTAATCTATTGGATTATGGAGATCGAAATAAATAAACACTTGGAGAATTTTAAGACTTGGAATTATTATTAAAAATTATACGACTCTAGACAGTTAAGAGGTACTTTACTGAACGAAGACTTACAACGAACTAACTCAACATTTCTAGTGAGGCCCACATTAAACTCCTCTCCAGAGGGCAGTATAATTTCTCCTTCCACCCTTAACCCTTGGACTTTCCCTTTTTTCATTCTAATATAAAGGAAAGGTCCCACAGTACAAAGAAATAAATATTTCCGAAATCCGGAAATACGAAAACTCTAGAAGAGTGAATTTTGAACCAGGAGGAAAAAATTAAATTCAATGACGTTGAATAATAATAATCCGTAATGTTAATGATGATCTGCGGTCAAACATTCGCGGATTGTAATAGCCTTTCTGTGATGAGGAAGTGCGATTTGTATAAAATACAAACTCGAATGGCTGTGGATGATTCGCCACGTTGAATTTTTCCCGCTTCATTTACGCAAAAGCTCTCTTGTATCGCTGCATTCAAGTGTTACGAGAATCAACGACCACCTGTAACTCTAAACGGCTGAACGGAATTCTCGTTTACATTGAAAACACAGGCGTAGCCCACCCAGAGTGTATTTCTTCTCACCCTGTTCCATAATTCCCTTTGAACTTGCAATTACGTCATACTCCCATAAAGTTAGCGAGGAACAGTATCCAGAGCTCAAGCTTAATTTCGCTTGAAAGGAAATTGCCACGTGTAATCGCATTTATTTATCGATCTCAAACAAAATCAATATTCAATTAGTGAATTTTTTTACATTCATCTAAAAATAGTTGGTTTCACTTAAATCCGAAATAGTTTGACATCAATTTTTCAGACTTGATTCAGATAACAATTGGATTCAGCTACTTATATTGAATTAAAAAAAGAATTGAATCACGCTGAAACTTCGACTTGATTCAAGTCGATCCTTCGATCTGATTCAGTCAGAAATCAGCATTAATGCAGTTGGAGTTCATCGAGTTGAGTGAAGAAAACCCACTATTTCCGCCTTTTATGCGTGCTCTGGACTGTTTTGCAATTCTGAAATTGCAAAGGCTGAATTTCTTGACAATTCTCAAAACTCAACGAAAAGCTCTTGCTCAGCTCTTGAAAAGCTTACGGCTTGTTAAACCGATTGTGAGCGGATTTTAACACTTGGGAGGCATGCTTCTGCATTATCTGGGTCAGTGTAAATAAAAAGTTTCTGAAAACACTCAAAAGCTCATTGAGAAGACACCTCAAAGCTTATTAAAAAACTTTGAGCCTTTGACAATCATTTTCCTGCGAAGCACTGATTACTGCTTCGATACTGCGCTCCAAGCATAGTACAACAAAAAAGCTCATAAATCCCGGAAATTGTTTGTCTCTTGGTATACGCACCGTAATTTCGAGCTTTTCAAACACTTCCATCAATCATTACTTTATGCTCTGGAGGAACCGTAACAGAATCAGTAATCGCAGACAACGTTAAAAAATTACTAACACTATTTTATCCCAGGAATTAGGTCATAAGAGTTTAGTATTCTGGAATTTTCTCCGTTAAAAACAACAATAACCAATTTAGCCTTAAAACGACAACAAAACTTTATGATTAATAATTTTGTAAGCTTATAACTAATTATATGCCTCCAAATTTTTATCACGGGATTTTTCTGTAAAATTTAGTCAAGTTCGTTGTATATCGGCTCAAAATTCTCTTTTTGAAAATAAAACCTGAAATTATTCACTTTCGAAGTACATCAAAATTTTCTGATCGACAATCCTGCCTGTCCGGCGCGCGTTGCGATGTACCTGAAGTTATTAACGAAAGAATGCGCGGTATATTCAAACTTCCGAACCTCAAATTGCATTTCGTCCCACAACGACCTCTGAAATTTCTCCCGAACGAGCATTCTTAGTAAATCCTGGACCTAAAAATAAACCTAAAAAATCACCACAAGTGTGACTTTAAAAAAAAAACCGCAGATTTTCAAAGTCTATCGAGGGCCAAAGCCGAAAGCCTAATGGGAAAAAAATTCTCAGTAAAATCGCGCATTAACCCGAAACAGTCTATTCAACTTCGAAAAGCTCACACCGACGGACCGAAAAAAAAAGTAGCTGTAGAGGAAAGTGGGGGGGGGGG